CTGAACCTTAGTTGTCTCCTCTTAAGGAAAAAGGAGGGAATTATAGTAGGTAGAAAAAAATACTTGTTAATGGAAAATTTGTTACTGAACTGAAACCATATAATGTTAATGTAACTGAATGTATCAGTAACTGTTCCTATGTAGATGTTCTATGAAGTTGGTTTTTAAAATATTACAAAAACCTGTTTCTTTTTTTCTTTGTTTCTTTTTTTTTTTTTTTTAGGGGAAGGTGGGAAGAGGTAGAGGGGTCTAAAAATTAAAATCTGTTGATGTTTATGTAACCATAATATGTTCCTCTCTGTGTGTGTGTGTGTGTGTGTGTGTGTGTGTAAAAGTGCCTTGTTCATGAACACATTTTTGCTGTTCATTCCCAAAGGAAGCCTTTCCCCAGCTTCCCAGCTGAATAAACCAACAGCTTTGTACATGCTGAACAGAGTATGGTCATTTATTCTTCACGAATGAAATAGATTCTGCTTTGCTTAAGGCATATTCAACATTCACCAAGTGCTGAATAGAGTCCATAGAGATACAGTGTATCTGATAGGAGGTGACTTGGCAGCTCTAGAAAAGAAACATACTTGAAGAGGAAAGTGTCAGATATGCAGTCAAGACCCAGATTTGAACCCATTTGTTTGTATATAAGTAATTCCAGGTTGCACAAAATGATAGGTACCTAAATAAGCCTTAAGCCTTTACTTCTTTTTGTGCGCCATGGTGTGGGGTTAGGGGTGAATTTACCACTTTCACACTCTCCCTCCATGGGCCTTTGGTTAAATGCAGTCCCCATAATTAGGATAAAGAAGGATGAGTTTATTCCCTATTTATAGAAATATTTATCAAAAGAGTAAGGAAACAGAATTTCTAAACCAACAGACATCAATGTTATTTAAAGGTATTATTCTGTCTTGGTGCAGATAGTCTCTTTTTGTTGAAGCAGTCCAGATACCTTGAGCCCAGAAGACCATAAACATGTTTCTTTAAGCCCATCAGCTTCTTAACAGAAGAAATCTAGACATGGCAGGAGGAGGGCAGATGTTAGGTCACCTTTAGGGAATTATTTTGCTGAGACTCCAATCACAGCTATCCATCTAAAACTTTTTCTCTATGGTGAAAACAGTGTTCTGATATTAGAGTAGATTCTTAAAGCAACTAGGACTTTAGATGCCACTTGGGTTGTTTTCTTACTGAAAACAAATTCTCTTACATAATAAATGATTTTCTACTTTTGGCTCCATTGTTAGAGAATTCAGTGTCTTTTGGAGCAGCCCATTAGTTTTAAATAGAAATTTAGTCATTCATCTAATAACATTATGGAGTGCCTACTATAATCCAGACACTCACTGGGAGTGCAAAATTAAATCATGATATACATAAGAAATCAGTTTTAAAATAAATTGAACCAATGTGAATTACCCCAAGGCTTTTGGCCATTGATGCTCATTTACTATGAGCTAGGGTCACAATATAAGTTTACTCCTTACACTGGCCCTTAAATATTTGAAAATGAGACAGCCATCGAAGTGTAGTGGGAATTCAGATGGAGAGCACACTCCAACAATTAAACCTCACAAGAGGTAGTCAGCTAAGGGAATACATAAAATAAATAGGTATTTTATACACAGATTTAAATTGTATATACTAAATTCACAAGGCAGTGGCACACAAAGATCAGGACCAGAAGTGTTATGTTCATGTGGCTGGGGTATGTATAAAAGCCCAGAAAGTCTGGATAACTACTCAGACTTCATGAGACAACTTTATACAAGCTGCTGGCACATAAGTTCTACTAATGAGTGGTATCCATTGGACTGAGGAAAATTGAAGGAGCTACACTAACTGACACCAACCACCAGGTATTTCTTCTGTGTCTACTTGCCGTCATCAAAAGGAAAATCTCTGTGGTGTATCTTTGCCAGTTTTGAACAAAAATTAGTTAATGGCTACATGTTGAAGTGTGATCCTTGTATATAATCTTCTAATCTCTTTCTATTGGTGGCAGCAGTGGGATTATATACTATATTATATACTATACAATTTTTGGATATGAGACTAAGGAAAGGGAGAGGGAAAGGTATCACAGTGATCTGATCTACCCAGCTCCTCTTAGCTGGTAGGATCAGCCCTTCTCAATAAGGTATGGAAAAAGAATACTTGATCTTAAAATAATGATTTAAAATAACAATGTAGCAGGCAGACAGTACTAGAGTTGCTTCTAAACTGTGGAGTCAGTTTAAAATGTATCCTCTAATGAAGACCCGTTATCAAATGGACTAGGAATATACATGTTTCATTTAAAATGTCAATCCTGAACTTAATCACTTTTATTCCAGCCCACACGTGACATAAAATGTAATCCATTTAATTCCAAGAGAATTTTGTTAATTTCTAAAAATATATTCAAAAATAAACTTTTGTGGCACAGTGTAAAAATCCTTTCAACTCACATCTTCACTCAGGTGAAAAAAAAAAAACCCTTAATATTATGTATAAATGCAAAAATAATGTCTCAAGGACAACTTTCAGGGCTTGGGTTGAATCAGAGAACAAGCCTGTAAGCAACGATCATTGAAACTGAGGCAGAAGCAGGGCATTGGTGAAAGCCAGTCCTCTACCTTCTTCTAAAACCTGAATACTGTGGCTTTTGCCTTTTTTTTTTTTTTTCCTACATATTGAGCATAGACCTTTGTGAGGAACCTCTCCCCTCATCCCCTGCAGCTGCTGCATGTGGTTGATCATTGCTTATTTCTCATTGACAGCAGCTCATTATAAACCTGGAAATGACCTTCCACAGCTGGGCAATATTTACCAAAGTCATAACTAATGTTCATCTATTTTCTTCTTTTTTAATCTTATAGCATCCGTTGAAATGACACTATGAAAGATACTTTAAGATAATTTCCAGAGGTGAGGAATCTGAAGATGAGAAAAATTAAGTGACTTGTCCAGTTCAATACAAAGTATTTAAATATTTGAATCTATTAATAACCCACTTAAGACATGATAATGTATATAAAACTGTACAGTGAACAATAAACAATTCAAGCTCAAAAAAATGTTAGTGTCAGCTTAGGGTTGGAGCATAAAACAGTAAGTAGTCTGGAATTTGGGCAGTTTATCTGGGAAGAAATAGATGACCCTGAAACATGATATGAAAATTCCTGAAATCATTTGGAAAGTTATGCTGTATTCCCTAGCGTAGGACATAACCAGTATTCACCTAAAAGACAGGATCCCAGCCAGCCTAACAAGATTATAACTGAGTTCCTAGTATACACAGAAACTGAGCTGGTATGGTATCAAACTAGATAACAACAGAAACCAGATGAAACAGTCTTAAAATACTGCAGCTTATAAATGAAGGAGCTAGTAATATCTTATTGGGGGGAAATTATTATATTTGGGTTAACTACTAAACCCATGCTTAATGCTACCCTTCAATCCGTGGTGTCAGCTTATGAGACCTGACACTCCAATACATCAACTGATATCTTGCTGTGTGTGTATTATCTAGGTCTGGTTGGGGCAACTTTGTTTGGGAGGAGCACAAATAATTGGAACTGTCCAAGAGTATGGCCATCATCCATCAAAAAAGACCCTAGATTGGCTTTATGATTGAACCCTGAGCAACCAAAATGGCCTGATAGAGTGACAGAG